ATAAATAGCAGTTCTGGTTGCAATAAGTACCAGCCCTTTACATTTACATTTACAGGTTGAGTGGTTAACTGAGAAGATGAGAGAAGCTAACTTCACTGTTTCATCAATGCACGGTGACATGCCACAGAAGGAACGAGAAACTATAATGAAAGAGTTCAGAGCTGGAGACAGGTAAGTTCTTCCCTGCTTCTTTTAATAACTTACCACACCCACACAGTCGAGTTTTAATAACCACAGACGTGTGGGCAAGAGGTCTTGATGTTCAGCAGGTCTCTCTTGTCATTAATTATGATCTTCCTAACAGTCGTGAGCTCTACATCCACAGGTTAGTCCTGTAACCAAAGTCCACTTTTAATTTTGTGCTCTAATTTTTAAACGTAAATTTAAATTGACTTTTTTAATTTTTGTAATTTTTAATTAAATTAATGCATGGATTAAGAATTAATTTCATCAAAGAAAAATGTTAAAATTGCCAAGTCCAAAAATACTAAAATTAGTATGCACAATTAAAAGCAAAATTATAGCACAATTTGACAATATTTCTTCCATTTTCTTGGCAGGATTGGTCGTTCTGGTAGATATGGCAGGAAAGGTGTTGCCATTAACTTTGCAAAGAATGATGACATACGCATACTGAGGGACATTGAGCAGTACTACTCCACACAGATTGATGAGATGCCCATGAACAGTAAGTGGAGAGAATTTTATTAAATAATAATAATCTCTTTCTCTCTTGTAGTTAATGAGCTTGTCTAACATTTTCTCTTTACATTATTATTGTCTAAGTATAAAAAATATGTCAGCTTGCATTGTAATTTTATTTTGAAGATAAAATTATTAATAATAAAACGATTAATTTTGGGCAGAGCAGTCTGGGTGTCTTATGAACTACACATACCACTTTGCTGTGTAGTCTGGTGTGATAATAAAAACTGTGTTTGGTATCTATAGCATCAGGAGCTTGTAGGTGCATACTGTAAGTCCAGATTATTTTTAGTATAATGAGTGCAATTATTATTTTATTGCTAGATTGGCTCAGTTAGTGGGTGTATCTTGTTTAATTATGGATATCAAATTACCAATGCACTCCTTCCTCTAATGCCACCCCTGCTTTGTGTAGATATGAAGTTGGAAGTAAAATAATAATAGTACTAAGCAATAAGATATAGTTTGTAACTAGGCTATGCTAAGTTAAACTTTTACATAATAATGATTATGCACAATAAATGTAATTTAACCAACTTTAACAATGAGAGGTTATATGAGCAGATGAGGCATTGTAGACTCATCTTGACTTAGTATGATTTGGACAGACCTAGCCTTATCATAAAAACCAATATCTGATACACAAGATTTAGATAATAAATAAATCGTTTCAGAAATTTTTTTCATCAATGCTGCAGTTTGTGACCGAGGTACTACATATGTACAAGTAAAGACAAACTCATTGCATTGTATTTCTAGCAGAGTGAGAAAGGATGAAATGTAAGAATTTTCAATTCTATTTAATTCAGTTATTGTCTTGGAGCTCCAAACAATCCGTCGAAGTTTTACAACTATCGTGCAACAGCCATCATCGACACCATCAGGACGTTGCATCCCTTTAGTCATCATTGCAAGCTCCAGTAAGCTAGTGGTATCTTTGAACTTCTTTAGGTCAGTATTGTAATCTTCTATCTGTTTCTTAATAGGTTCTGTGATAGTACGTGCTATTGTGAGAAGGTCAATGTTTAAACACGAGTAATGAGGTCGGAGCAACTGTAAAAATTGATGAACATTTTCACAAATAGCATCTTCTTCAATATATGATTGAAAATTTTGTTTTGCTTCTGTTACCATGGCTTTGTTGACTAAATTATTGGTAGCAGCATCTTTGAAGATACCATTTAATACATGAAAACAATATTTCAGCCATTCAAATTTTTCTTTTAATTTACTTTCAATAATATCCACGAATGGTTTATAAAGCAAACCATTCACTCTTTTGTATTGAACAGCAGTTTTTAGCATATCTTGAATTGAAGTGTCCTCTTGTGGCATAATTCTTACTCCAATTGATCTGTATACATGCTGAGAGAGAGCAAAGCATGCTAAATGATTCAATCCAATATATCCTTTACCTAGGCCTGATTCTTCACCTAGGCCTGATCCTTCACCTAGGCCTGATGCTTTTTGCACAAATGGATCAGCGTCATTTTGTAACAAGGACTTAAAAATTTCAATGTGCCCACCTTCACTGGCTAGAATCAGTGGAGTCTTGCCATTAGCATTTTGGTCATTTAGATGTATGTCAAGTTTAATCAAAAGTAACGATAATCTGTGATATTCTTGATTACTTTCAATACTTTTAATGGACTGTAGAAGAGATTCTTCAAATGTGAAGTTAACATCTTCCTCTTTGTCAATGATAGTTTGCTTGTCAATGATCAGTCGAAATATACCAAGAAAAGACAAGAAGTGAAATTTAAGTGACAATTTTGTAACGAGAGGCTGAACCAATCTGCTAGAAAAGACCAAAAATTGAATATAAACTGATCCTCGTAAAAACCTTGTTATTGTAACATACTTTGCTTCTTCATCAAATAAATAATTAATTAGTATACGAAGGTGCCCAATAGTTTTATCTTTCCATTTTCCAGACAGCCCAACAATTATTTTAGGATTGACTTTGGTACTTTCCTCAATAATCGTTTCTTCAATAGTCTGAATAGCATCATTCTGTTTTGTAGAGTCAAGAAATTTGACAAGATTATCATTATACTCATCAAGCCGGGTCTGTAATGCAGAATCATCAATAGGATAGACATCCACAAGATCATTGATTGCAGTGATATCTATAAAATTGTAATGAGGTCGCATTTGCTGAAATATTTTATCAGCTGTCACACCATCTTGTGCTAGATCATATATATCAAAATAACTTTCAGCCCATCGAGCAATAACAATTGCTTTATGTTTTTCACTAGAAGCATAATGAGTAGTAATATCCGCTATTAGCTTTGCATACTTTTTGTGTAGGTTTTGAAGTTCAATGGCTAGATTATCATTTGAGCCAAGCTTTACTTTTTTAGGAATAAATTCAGTGGCCACCTTAGTAAGAGACAGTACTACTTTATGATTTTTTAATACTTCATTCTCCCAGTCTCTAGCTAGTGCAAAGGCCTCCTCTTGAGCTGGACCTCCTACAGTTGATAGACAATCTAAGAAAAGTGAACACAGCTCCTCTGTCTTTTTTGCATCTTCCATGTATAAAGAAAGCATTGCCGAGAATTCTACTTCAATTTTGTCAAAAGTTGGTAAACGCCGAACTTCTCGGTTAATCAAATTTTTGCTGTACAACTCATTGGCTACTTCTATAAGGCAAGTTTCAGTAATTGCTACTAATTTTGAAAAATGGCTTTGTAAGATTTGCTTTACTGTTTGGTAGACATTTTTACTGGAACTTGTACCTAAAATAAAATTTAAGTTTCATTATTAATATTACCAAGAGTAAAATTTAATAATAGATCTATCTACCTGAATGCTTGTCTAACACATTACGAGCTACAATAACTTCATTAGCATCCAGCAAAGCATCAATAACCTTCCTCCATGTAATATCAGTATTATCAAGACAATATTGAGCTATGTCACTCATGGCATCTGCCTCCTTAGTCTTTCGTTGTTTGATTTCAATAATAATATCTTGTGTCATATCTGGAAAGTAACATACAAACTGTTCCCAAGTACTAGCAGTAAACTTTGAGCTACTCAAGAACTCAACCAACTCATCTTTTGTTGGCTTGTCTAAATGGTACAATACTAGATTGCGTGGTGAGACAGACAATTTTAATTTACCTGTAAGAGTGGGTCCAGGATTAAGTTCAACATCTCCTGATATGAAGAGGAGGATAATCAGACAAAAAATAGACAAAACGAGTCTCGGGGTCTTATTGGCTCTATTGATTTCTCCAGATCTATTGGTTTGATTCTTGCCCTGGTAAAGCAGAGTAAATTTATAATCACTGGATTGTGGCCAGTGGGAACTGTTCCAAGATCCTATTCTAGCTCTCCACTGACACAAATCAATCATGTTTTATGCCTCAAGACCAAGCTCGAGACTTATAGTTTAGGTTAGGGTAATAGATCTAAGTAGGCTTAGATTATGTAGATACGCCCCGATACGCCCACAAGCATCATTTTGAATCCAGATATGAATGTTGTTGACTTTTCAAAACAATCAGAAAATATAAAAGATGATCACGAGCAGCATGAGCATCATGAGCATGCTTTTATATTAGATCTACAACCCCCAGACACGGAGCTAGAGATTAAAGAGAAGGAGAAGCTCCTCAAAAAGTTGCAGGTGGAAATTTTTTTAGATATTTTATATTTTTTGTCTCTCTCCTTTAGGAAGACATAGAGAAAGGTATAATAGTTGCATACAATAGCACACAGTGTATATAATTCTTGTGGTATTAGAAAGGAATTTACAGTCTGATTTGCAGCATGAGTTGTGCAGGGTCAACAAGAGCCTCTGTGTAATGGATGAACAAATATCAGACTCCACAAGAGAAGCTTACAAGTGTGAGAAAGCGATAGAAACTAACATCACAAGAATACAATCAATGCAACTGGAAATAAAACAGAAAAAACAGGTACATGTATATACATGTAGAAAACTTAATGTATGAATGGTGTTTGTTATGAAATTATTGTAGATGGTAATTTGTTGTTGTTGTTGTTGTTGTTATATGCCATTGTTTATTGTTGTTTTTATGACTAGTATTATGAATCTCAGACAAAGCAGAGATTGTTCTATTCTGAGAGAATGAGAGCACACAAAAGGAAAGTACTTGAGTTTGTGAATAAACTGGCAGTGACACAAGAACTAATGGAAGCAAGAACTACCTGGGAAGAAGCAAAGGACAAGTGTATGAGGATTAGAGACTTTAAAAAGCAATGCTTTGTTATTATGGTTATACGTTTCTCTAAATTTTTAGTTGGCGATTCCAAGCTGATAGCTAATGAAATTGATTGTGTAGACCAGAGATTAAATGAAATCAATCATAAAATAACTGAAAAAGTTGACCAAAAGAAGCAAACAGAGAAAGGCATTCAAGCAATGAGAAACGAGGTATGCTATATTTTTGGAAATTAGCATAATTTAAGACTCAGAATTGTATCACATTGTTGATGCTTCATATCAATAGATCCAAGGTCTGACAGAAAACAATAATAAGCTGGTGAATGAACTTGAGGTATTGCGCAAGAGGCGACAGGCTCGTCTAGTAAGAGTGAGACACCAAGTCCATGAGGGAAGACAAAGAAACAGACAATTAGAACTAAGAGCAAATGAAATAAAGAAGCAAATAGAGAAAGCAAAAACAAAACTTAGAATGAGGCAAAACTGAATGACAGTAATACGGTACTTAGAATAAATGTATATAAAAATGATGTTTCTGTTTGATCAAAAATTGTGAGAGGTTATGTTGACAAAGTACCCTGTGCATATTACACATTTTTAAAATTGATAAAAATCCAATTTGATGAAAATTTCTGCACAACATAAGAACATGTATAATTATGAATTAAGAATTGTAGTTAATTTTGTCAAAATTTGGCCAAAAATCCTAGTACAGTGACTTTAGCTCGATTTTAGAGCAACCTTTAAAACTGTAAAAAATTCAATCTTAGTTGGAGTCAGCTCAAACTTTCTGCACTACATAAGAACATTTATATGCATCAGAAAAA